CAGCTCTCCACTATTCAGAATCAGACGCATGACTTATTTCAAATTGGCAGACCTTAAAAAACCCAAACCAAAACCTTGCATTGAAGTTATATAGCACCTGATTAATGTCTTCGTCACTGATATTGACATTTTTGTTTAGTACATGAACCAAATAGATCGATGAAGTACTAACTTTAGTTTGTCATAGTATAAAATCATTAAACAAATTTTTGTTACGATGGTGTCTTCTCAGGAGCAATGCTAACTATATAGACATAATCATATTTGAGGAATCAGCTCTTCTCTGTGGACATAAGGGACAGCACAAAACTTTGATATCAATTTATGGATGAATTACAAATATATTTTCTCAAAATAATCCAATAAGGGACATACATGAAACAAGATTATCATGAAAATTATCAAATATGTATATACAAGAGTGAAACTAGTTTAATAAATCCCCATAAGCCATTGTTGCAGCTTCATGACCAAAGTATTTAAAAATAAAACAGAAGGGTCATGTGGGATACAAATGTTTATGAAGAAGTGAAAGCATGTATTAAGTACAATTTTAAATTTAGGTGAAATCCCTACAGAGTATATATAGCAGGTTACAATTCTAGTTAACAATAATCATATGTTTGGAGTAAGCTTGGACTTTTTTCCTTGTCCGGAATCATCCTCTAAATTTTCAGAACGATACTTTTCTCTTTCAAAGTTAAAGTAGAGGTATACTTAGGCAGTATTTTCATATAGTAAGGTCCTATACTTGACCACTATTTTTAAAGAACAGCCTTAATGTTTTACCCAAATAATACACACATGTTTTAAATTCTCAAAAAGTACTAGAATAAGTAAAACAAAAATTTATTAATTTTCTATCCCACCACTTCTCACTCTATAATCCCACACACTAGACCCAAGTACCATGCATTGACTCATTTTGCTATTTTATCTGATACTCATGTCACTGCAGTTCTAATCAATATACTTGTATATTTTCTACTGCCTTCTTATGAATGACAAACTTTAGCTCCCTTAATGCCTCACACACCCACTATCACCTACAGCCTTGCCATTCTCCCAGGATAGTTAAATTCAAATTTCTAATGCACTTATTGTTTGTGATTTCCTTATTCCCCACTCCTGTTGTTTCTTTCTAAGTGGGTGGAGCCCCGTTTTGGTTACTCGGCTTTTGTTTCCTGCTATTTCATTCATTCTGTACCAGGAGAGGTGACTTATAGACAGATCAATTCAAAAAAATATATGACAGAGCATCTTCTACTGAGCTCTGCCTTTCATGCTCTTCAGATTGAGCTGTCCACAGGAAGCATTGTTTCCCAGTGCTCCTCCGGGTGTGTGTGTGTGTGTGTGTGTGTGTGTCTATCTATATATATATATTTGACTCCTTCTAGAGGGGAAGGCCTTCCCTTATCCAGTGCTGCGATGAGTGGGTGTGGCAAGCTGGGGATTTGCCTGGGATTTGTTAGGAGGTCCCTTTTCTCTTACACTAAGCTCTATCCTCCACTTTTGTCTAGAAGTCCAGCGCACGATCCATTGTGCCACAGAGCCATGTTATCCTCCACTCTTATAATAAGTAATATGTAATAAGTAATAATTGGCCTCCAATCTGCTGCTCTTCAGTTCTCAATTTGCTCAGATTCCAGGTAGGAGAAAGAAAGGGCTATTTATTAGATTTCCTTAGAGACACCAAATATATATATATATATATATATATATATATATATATATATATAATTATCACCCCATAAAATTTATTCACTCCAGAACCCGATACAAGTTTCTATTTTTCCTGGAGTAAGAATTTCTGTCTTCATTTTGCTCTTATTCGTGTGCATTTTCATTCATTCTTTTTTTAAAAATTTTATTGGGGAACTGTGTTTTTCCAGGACCCATCAGCTCCAAGTCAAGTAGTTGTTTTAATCCAGTTGTGGAGGGCGCCGCAGCTCCTTGGCCCATGTGGGACTCGAACTGGCAGCCTTGGTGTTATGAACCTGCGCTCTAACCACCTGAGCTAACCAGCCACCCTTCACTCTTTCTTTATGCAGCTTAAAATCTCTGGATTTCTCTTCCACAAGATAAATTTCATTGAGTGTTTCCTTCCCTTTTATTTTCCTAGAGTCTTCCTGTTGGGGGCCTTATAGTTTCCTCTTCCTGGTTACTCTCTAGGTCTATTTCACAGTTGTCATCCTGGCACTTTCTTTTGGGTCAGTTCAGTGCAAATTCACTGTTTCTTGGGTCGTGTTTCTCCCTTGCTCTTGGTTTATCCTTTACTTTGGTGGAGTACATTCTTAAATAACTTCCTGAAAATAATATCTAGGAGGTAAATTTTTTCACACTTCAAGTATTGGAAATGCGTTTATTGTATCATGTTTTTCAAGTAGGATAGAACTTTACATGAGAAATTATTTTCCTGAATCATATTGAAAGTGTTCAGTTTGTATGATCTTCTACTATTGCTGTCGATAAATCCAACACCAGATTCCTCATCCTTTCATGTTCCCTGTTTTTTTCCACCTGAAACTGCAATAGATGTCATTGCCTATCCAACATTCATTCACCCCAAATTTGTCCAGGTATCCATCACCAATTTCGTAAGAGTACCCTGAGTGGTTTAAGACAGTCAGCAGATGGTATTCTCCTACCTGCCAACATTAGCCCAGAAATGGGCATCTGACATTAATCACCCCACCAAATTGAAGAAAAAGACTTACAACATATTGGTGGAGAGGGTTCTTACTCTCCTTCTGAACGTGCACTATGAAATTTGTAGCCTTTTTTGCTACTCTCAACTATCTTGTGAACATTAAGGAAACCAGATTTAGGGAGAACCAGAGGAAGGAAGAGGCAGACAGACCTGGAATCGTTGATGATGTCAACTGGAACTGACCCTACTTCTTTTATTTAGTAAGATAATGAATTTGCTTATTATTTAAGCAACTTAGAGTGAGAATTTTCTTTTCTTCCCCCCCTCCAGCCCAAAGCATTCTGACTGCTAGAGGAAGCTTTTACGGCTTCTTCTTTGTCCCTAGAATCCTGAAATTTCTTGATAATATCTCACAGTTTCAGCCATTTTTCTTCCTTCTGATGGACATTGGGTGGCCTTATTCAATGTAGAAACTCATATTTTTCAGGTGTGGAGACACATTATTGTATTATTGATCATTGCCTTCCTTCCCCCCCCCCCCCGTTCCTCATTCTTGACTATCAACATAAATAGGGGGACAGAGTCAGAAGAGCCTTCTATAATAAGAATTCTTAAGTGACTCCTAGAAGATTCACGGATCAACTACAGGTGGATTTCTAGAGAGAACCTAAAGCTACTTTGTATTCTTTTACTGTCCCCAGAGGATCCAGTCCTTGAGGGTGACAGGACCATTAGCTTCTAAGAGAGCACAATTGTGAACTACTGACTGGTTAAAGATTAGGAGAAGGGAGCAAAAGATATGGAGAAGGAAATGTTTNGCTCCAGGTTGAGCTGTTGTTCAGCATCTTAGCTGTAGAGGGCAGTGTCACTGGCCCTCATATGTGGGATCTGAACCGGGGCCCTCTGGCGTCCCAGGCCAGTTCTTAACCATCGCGCCACTCGGCCGGCCCCTGTCCTATTACATTTTAATTATCATCACCCTTGATCTTAGGCCTAGTTTAGTTCAGTGCATGAAAATCCTGAGGCAGAAGAACCCAAACTTGGGATTTTCAGCAGTTACAAATTTTTTATGTCATTTACTTTTATCTATTACTTGTGTTTTAAGATGTGAATGTCTTATATCATGAAGGATGCATTCTTACCCTTCATAATACATAATACACTTGGCTTGTTATAGACACAGATTTTCTGAAAGTGAAATGAATAGAGGCTTGTAATACATATTTCCCTACATTCAAAAAGAAAATGCTTTAAACATATTGAATGCATTTTTAATACATTTCTATTTAAGTGGATGAAGTCCCTGCAGAAACACAGTATCGTTAATTAAAATAATGTTATAAAAGGAAAAAAACAACTGAGGTATCTTACCAAAATTAAACTTTCAAAAATATCTCTGACATCATTTACTGAAATGATACATCGTGTAGGGAAAGGGACAAACCAGGTTGTTACTGATTTCATTTTAGTAAACTCGTAAATTTTAAGTGAGCCATAGAACTTGAAATGCAATTACTTTGTAAATCACGTTGAGCTGCACTTTTCACCTTTTGTATCTCTAGGGGAATTGGCAGCCTCCCATTTTCACCTCTCCTCCAGTATGGGGCTGGATGGGGCCGGGGGAGGGTAGGTAAGCATTCTCACACTTTCCTACAGGAATGTAAATGGACACAATCTTTTAGAGAACAACTTGGACATACTTTTTGCAATGCGGTAAAAAATGTATACGTGACCACACTTTACTACTTGCTCTGAACCCTTAAGCCCCCTTCGTAGTGGCAGCATCTGGGGACATATATTAAACTTGCCCATTCAAAGTGACTGAACATACCCCAAGGTTTAAAAGTGGACTTGGGTGAGCTCAGGTTCTTTGTAGTGAAATGGTCAGACTTTCCAAATTTATTCCCCTTCTTCCCATTTCTGCAGATGGCATCTGGACATAGGGAAAATTTATACAGCCTTATGGAAGCAGGGGAGAGCTCTCTGGGTCAAGTGTTACCTTTCTCTGTGAACACCTACTGACCTCTGCTTTGGGGATGTGGCCCTCAGTTCTTCCTTCGTCTGTTACTGAAGTAGCTACAGTTAATATAACTTAGAGTTTTTTGGTGGCACAGAAATGGACGGGGATTTCTAGGACAATCAGCCGATTCTTCCTGCTTACTAGGCTTCCTATCTTTGGTCTTGTTTATGTGGCTGATCGTCTAATACTCCATCTAGACTTCAGCTTTGGGATACCCACCCTGAATCCTCTATAATGTATAGTCACGCCCTTCGGCACCTTGACCCTCAGAGAACCATCCTGACTTATTCTTACATCCCTTCTACGCTCTCTGCAGGGTCTCGTGGGATCCTCTGGACCTCTTTCATGTCTGCTAAAAATTGTGGGAAAACAGAGGGGCCCTTCTCAGACCTCTACTATTAAATACATGAAGTCACCATTTCTGCTCTGTTGCAACTACCCCAGGTTTGTATTCGGATGGTATTTTTTTCTAGAGTTCCATAGGAGAAATGTTCAAAGACACCCTGTGTTTTTAGCTTTCCTGTCTCAAAAATTATTAATACTACTCTGTGCCCCTCTGTTGACCCCACCCCCTTCCATTTGAACAAAGGGCCAGGAATGGGGGCACTGAACAGTCTTTCAGTAATGCAGACAGTATCATCATTCCCTTTGGCTCTTTTCATGTTCCTCCCAGCATTTGAAAGCTGGTTTTTTTTCTCCTCATTCCTGTCCATCAGGAACTTACCTTAACCCTTTCAAGGCGATGGTAGAATATAGTCAAATGAATACTTCCATTGGCTGACTGTGGCACTCAAATTTACCCCACAAGCTCAAAAAAACTTTTCCCTCAACTGCAGTTTCATTGATATTCTTTGTCTTTCCACATTGCAGATTCTAGTAAATGCCTGTGCTCAGATCCAAGCTTGGTTCTTCATATGTAGAGGAAAGCTTTTCAATTTTGAAAATCTCTTTCTATGGTTAAAAGAATATTGTTTCCATTCGCATCCTATAAAATCAAAATTTTAACCGCTAGCTGAACACTGTTTTTTTGTTTTGTTTTGTTTTTAAGGTAGTGTCTCATATCCATAAGAAGTGGTAAGGAACCTCAAATCTGAAAGACCTTCAGAAAATGCAATATTTGAAAGGTAATATTTTTTAAAAATTAGCAAAGTTGCATTACTAATCTTTAAGAATTTATTCATAACCTTGTCTCAGTACAAAAGCATCTATATATATATATATATATGTGCAAAGATTTTTTGAGCTACCGCAGCATTTGTTTTGATAACTAAATATTGGAATCAACCAAAAGACCCATAAACTGGTGAGTAGCTAGTAACATATCCATAGAATGCAATAATAATACACAGTATTTAGAAAGAATGAAGTATTAATAGATATGTAAGTAGTAATAGGCAAACATCTCCAAGGGTGTTAATTTAAAAGCAATTTCCATAAAATGTGTATACAGTAGTCCTCTCTTGTTTGTGGTTTCACTTTCTGTGGTTTCAGTAACTTGTACTCAGCTGAGGTCTTGAAATATTAAATGGAAAATTCCAGAAATAAGCAATTCATAAGTTTTAAATTGCATGCCATTCTGAGTACCGTGATGAAATCTGGCGCCACCCCTTTCCACCCTACCTGAATCGTCCCTTTGACCAGTATCAGCACGCTCCGTGCCCATTATCACTCAGAAGCTGTCTCGATGATCAGACACATAACAGATCAGACAGCTCATTCACATAACTCTTATTATAGTAGTATATATATATTTTTATATATATTTTTATAATGTTTGTAATTTGTTTAATTCAGACAGTATATACAAAGCGATAACAGAGTATAGCTCATAGTATCATACTTACTGGTGAAATCCTAGTGGCATTCTTATTATAAATAAATCTAGGAAGAGAATGATAGGCATGTAATTATTATTGTGTATCTTTCAGAATGATATAATAAGAAATGCAACAGAATTAGAAGG